AAGGTGGGGTGCAGGGTTTCAATCGCGTCCGGAGTCGAGACTGTCCATTTTTGTAATCTGTCATTGAGTTCCATTTGATTCTACAGAGGGATATAATCCCTCTACGCAAGAGTTTCATGGTACGGACTGGTAGTATGAGTTGAGGGTGCATTTCATAGCTATTACTGCTCCATGCACTGGTCGTCATTTCAGGCGTCCTTTCTCTGCCTGGGTGGCAAGTATAACAGCGGACGGGGAGTTTCTTGCGGCTGAGTGCGGTTCCCTGCACAGAAAATTCTTTTCTCCTCTTGTGCGTCAGAATCGGAATGTCAACTCCTTTTGTTAGATGAATAGTTTCCACGAGAACTAATGGATGAGAACCAAAAATATTCATTTCGTCCATAAATACACCACTTTATGGTAAATGAGCTGGGTTATGGACAATAAAAAAAATAAAGCGACGACGGAGGTAGTATGGCTCAATAGCCGATGTTGACAAGGTATCTGGAAACTTTCTCCACATCTTTGCGTACAATACATGACGCTTCGTAGTCCCCTTCGTAGATGACGATAATGACAACTAAAATACTTATTTACAAAAATTATTGTTATGAAGTATTCTAGCCCTGAAAATAGTGGTGTTCTAATAACCCACCAGTCTTGGTCTTTGCCGCAAAAAAACCCTTGTTCCCCCTTTTGCCAATGATGAAGCTCTCGTCAGCGCAGGGAACTATGTAGTGAATCTGGAAGGGTGATTATTTTTCTAAAACAGCAGTTAATGTCTAGGAATGATATTCATTGACTATCCAAGAAAATTGTTGTTAAAAAGTCTAACTCACATTTTCCAGATTGACGCCACTCGCCATGACCTCCTCGGGATGTTCAAAGTCGCTAACCAGCTTCTTCAGTTCTTCGGGGGTTCCCTGAATCGGAACTCCTTTCAACTTCAGTTTTGGAGACTTAAATTTGTTTCACAAACTACGATATCTCTTAAAGCTACAGATAGATAGATCTACGTTTGACCCGGGAATGGAAAAATTGTGAAACAACTGAGGCATATTGAAGTACCACTGTACCTTCATCAATAAGTAACACGAACCTTGAAATCTCTTGGGCCCCCTGTTTTGGCCCAGAAAGTGGCTTCGAAAGTGATGATTGCAGCTCGTTTCACTGCCGGAGAAATGGAAATAAGTGAGCTAACGTACGCCTCCCAACCTGACATTATTACGACTCTCGGTGCGGTGCAACGACTCAAAGCCTGGAATTATGAACCGACATTGATTCCATAACCCTAATATAGACATTCTGCACGCAACAAATATCAAGGATAGTATTAGTGGAACCAGTAGATACCAAATGTACAAATATGTGGAGCTTATAGACGGTATTCTGAAAACACCGGTAGATACGAC